TTTTTTTTTCACATTTGCAGAAATAGGCTTCTATACAATTGTGATAACATAAATCATTTTTTAAAATACGCTACAGCTGCAGCCGCCTCTGTCTGTAGTCTGGCTCAATATCCCATCCACGCCGCTTTCTGATTGGTTACACGTCACAAATAGTAGCCTCAACGGGCTCCTACGCGCCCTGGAAAACCTGGAAATTTAGAGACTAGTTTTCCAGTCATGGAAACACCTGCAAATCGAATACTGCGTCCAGTTTGCCTTTTTTACAACAACAGCAATCATACTGGCTTATTCAATAACATATATTTCTATTTTTTAATGCACACATATCAGATCCACACTGTATTGGATTGAATTTGGGGGTTAAGAATATTCAGACATTGGAATATGAAAAAAAAAAAAAGAATAATATCTTTGATAAATAAAACATAAATAAAACCACACAACAAAAACAACAACAATGTTCTGTGAACAATATCGGACTCGGCATCGGGAAGGAAGAAGCACAGACATCATTCAACTGAACAAGAAGGAAACCAGATTTCTGACTGGAGGGCGACTTTAAAAATATGTTTGAAGTTATTTAGAAACACTAACAAAGTTGTTTTACACTGTAAATCGTCTCATTCAGTTCGTCCTTCCAAAAAAATATGTTTATCAAAAACAAACATTGGTGGTGGCGTCATAATAATTTTTACTCTCAAATGCTCAAATATCGTAATCTGCCTTAAACATCCCGGACCGGTTCTATTCAGAGGCATTTTTATATATTTGAGTGGTTTTTAGTGAATTTAGTGACGTTCCAGCACAGTTTGGAGACAGGTCGGGCATTTAACAAAAGTCCCAGCTGGGATCAAACTCCACTTTCTGGAATACTTTTGACAAATGTAGTATTTTTCAGCTGTAAAATATCCCCCCAATACATGATATGTTGTCTAAAGGTCCTTAATAACCACATTTATGTCCTGACAACAGATCTTAATATCCAAATGTGAAATGTTCGGGTTTAGTGTACCACATTTTGAGGACAGAAGGACACATTTCCCAGAAGTCTTAATAGTGCTTCAGTCAGGTAGAGTGAGGCGTCCAATAGGAAGAGGCGTGACAGACGGACGGTGTGTGACTGGAGGACTGTGAACACGCCAACAGGAGAATCAATGAGCGCTTTGAGAGGCTGTCAGGACGTGACGGGGCGCCGGCGAGTGAAGTGAGGTAAAAATAAAAGAAGGAGAACGCCGTCACAATCAGGTGAGAGGTGGAGGTGGGGAGGGGCGGCGTGTTGGTTAGCTGTAACCCGAGCAGTGACAGCGGGGAGAGATCAAAGCGGGGGCCCGGCCGGGGGCCCTGGAAGAGACAGACACAGGGGGGGCGAAGGGTCACACCGAAGGAGGAAAAGGGCCTGATTCCCTTTCCTGTTCACTACCGAGGAATGCTCTCTGCAGGATGGGACGTGTCCCCGCTGCTCGGCCCGCCGCCGCCTCCTGCAGCCGCTCCTCTGGGGCCAAACTGGCATTTGTGGGGGAACACTGGGCCCCTTGTCTCAGTGACCCCCAACCGCCGTCTCCTCATTTCTCCGGCGTGTCACAACACACACGTGAAGCGAATAAGGTGGCAGACCAGTCGATTTGCATGTTTCATAAAGAGAAATATCACAGCTGACAGCGGCTACGTCAGAAAGCGTCTCTCGCCCTGCGGGAGGAATCTGCTTCTGACTGCGGCTCCTTCACTTTACACCAAAATGAACATTAGATTGTGGGCCTTGTTTGTTCCTGTTGATAAAAAGTAAAATGATTTGATCAGTTTTGATAAATCACTGCAGGTTTTCTGGCAGTAGTTTATTTGCTCGTTAACATTAGAGATGCACAGAATGGATTATTTTTCATGGCCGATGCTGATAAGATTTCACATTTTTATGTTTTAAAAAGTTCATAATCTGTAGTTTTTACACAGTTGATGGCAAGAAATGCTGAGATGTAGTGAGTGATGGATAATTCAATATTCCACAGCTGTGAGGCTGCTGAAATTCTTCTTCTTCTTCTTCTTATTATT